ACCAATGTCAGAGACAGGTAGATTTAGGGTGGCTTGGCTCTGTATCCTGACAGATATGACTCTTATTCCTTGTCATTTTGTCAGAAGCATCTTAAAACCCAGAAAGAATCTATAGAGACCAAATGATCCATCCCTCTGTCTTCATACTTCTAAAGGATTATTTTTCATATTTGAGGCACCTGAGGTCCAAAGAGGTTAAGGGACTTTCTGGATGTCCCTCTGTTAACAGTAAAAGGCAACAAATAGCCCATACCTCCACACACTCTTACGCATAATACTATATGCTATTTACTACATCCATGAAAGACAAAGTAAAATAGTCTGTTTTATGCTGTCAATAAGTTTGTAATCTTGAAAAAATCCATCATCTACACATAACACCCCAAACACCATATTCCAGTGAATCAGTCTACCAGCTATGTGAACTGGAATAAAGTACCAACTTCTCTAAACCTCAAATTCCATTTTCATAAGATGAAGAAAATAATAATAATTTTCTTAGAGTTTTTTGAGGACTAAATGAGTTAATACAGAGAAAGTTCCTAAACAGTGCCTAGCATGTATTAGGCATTCAATAAACAGTAGCTATTATTAGTCACCAAATCCTGGTGATTTAGATATTAAAATAATTTCTCTTACAGCTTGAATGAGATGCATTTAGGGAAAATTAAAAATAAAGTACTGCTTTAAAACTGCAGGTAGTAAACATGAAATATTAGCCCAAGAAACTGTAGAGGCTAGATACATAAGCAGCTACTTAAAGGGGTTATATAAACGTGGCATTAACAACTGACAAGAAGGAAAAAAGACTGATGTGAGGATCCATGCTTGAGGTTGACAGTAAAAGATGGAAACTTTGCTCTCTTACCAATGTGCTTTGCAGTTATTACCAGATTTAGCATAGCATGGCGCCATTAGGTAGCAATGCAGCTTCTATTACAATAATTGAAGGCAGTCTAGCCAAAATCCCTCACTTCTTCAAAGAACATGTAGGATGGTCAAAGCTCAGAGGTGGAGATGCATGTTGTGTAGAAGGGGCAAAATACAGTGGCTCCTTGCATGTCCAATTACATATGTTTTAAGGGATTGCTTATGGGTAACAAATATGATACGAACAAAATGCTATGCTAATCGTTTTCCTACTGGAGGCTCCGGTGAGCCCTCTCAGCATGGTGCCGCACCCACCTGCATGCGGAGCACTGCCACCACTGGGTAGCCGCTTCTCTTACCTTTCTAATGCAGTGCATCTGGGTCTCTGTGGTGCAGGGGGTGCTTCAGCCTCATCCCCAGCTTCTAGGATTCTTTCAGTGGTGCCTTGTTCATAAATAGTTGTTACCTGTTCTTCTTGTGAGGAGGCGCGAAGTCAGAGACCATCGATGCCGCCATCTTGGTGATGTCACTCTCCCTCATTCCAGCAGCAAATGATACAATTGGTCTCCTTCACGTCTTTGAAATGCCGACTTCACTGGCATTTAAAGCACCACACCACCTACTCATTTTGCTCTGTAACCATTCTAGCCATCCAATTGTGACTGTGCACTGCATGCCAATGTTATTCTTTTAAACCCCAAAAGAATAAGCCCATCCAGGGCGCCTGGGTGGCTCAGTTGGTTAGGCGACTGCCTTCGGCTCGGGTCATGATCCTGGAGTCCCTGGATCGAGTCCCGCATCGGGCTCCCTGCTCGG